AGTAAGAACCGCATGCAGCGCATTGCGCGCGCACAAAGTGATAAAAAACGAGTTCGTCATTTCCAAACATATAAAATACAACTGTCGTCATTGAGAAGTCATCACTGACAAGTGCAGAAGCGTTGGCACTGAAAATAATAAACCAGAATGAAAAATGACTACAAAAACAGCGATATGCGCGTGGAAGGCTCACGCCTCTCGCGGCGCAAAGGCCTCTTTTCGCCTATAGCGTTCACTTATAGGGTGGCGCCACGTATACATTTCAGAGCATTAGCGCTTGGGGCGGATAGCGACCAGAAAGCCTGAGCGAGTCCCCTGCCAGCTACGTTGCAATCTGCCTATCCTATATGAGTTCCATTAGTAACGTGAAAACCACGACGGCTGGGACGAGTTTTGGGCGCACGCAACTGCTGAGTAAAAAAAAAAAATGCTATTACACCTATAGGGAGCTGCAGCCGGCACTGTGAATGAACACTTCGTAATTTTTTTTACAGTTGCGCCTATTTTAGTATATATTAGCTGCCGATGCCAGCGCCAGAACAACAGCCAGAAAAGCAGCCAAGTAACCAATGCCTTTTTTTGTTGTTGTTGTTTGTCAGCGCGGCCTTTTAAAGGTAGTCAACCTGACAACGCCGTGCAGCTCATGCAATATTAAGTGCTGCAGTCACAGTGCCAGGTCTCCACCAACTCTCCACCTCTATCGCTTTTTTTTTTCCCCATTTGACACGCTGGTATATGTATGACGCGTATCCGCGCACGTGGCGCTCACTGTTTTATCATTATTGATGCGCTGTTTCCGTTTACGGCGACCTACACATGATAGGCGTGCGTTATACGCGGGAAGTGCTGCGTCGCGTGACACGAGGGAAGCCGTCGATGGAGCGCACCTCGACCGGGTTCACACCTTGCGCCAGCCTCGTAATGGAAACGCGCACAGCATTGCACTTGCACTTCTCTCGAGAAAAGCGAGGAAAAAAAAAAAGAAAACTATTCCTTAAAGGGAACACATGTCGTCACGCACTTTCTAGTGCGACAGATTTTACTCAAGAACACAAAAAAAGCACGCTATTACTTACAGCATGAAAATACGCAGAGAAGGTGATATGTATGCGACGACACCAACGCTTTCAAGTAAACTAACTTCACCAGAACAGAAATAATCTGGCTGAGTGGCAGCTCGGGTTCCCGTTAGCATCATAACTCTTTTTGTCCGTACTTGAGTGTGTGTTCTTTTATTCATTTTTTTGCTCTTTTTCTCATTCTTTTTTCATTTCTTACGTTTCTGTTGCCCCTTACTCAGTTCAAGGTAGCAAACGAGATGATTTTCTTCTGTTAGACCTTCTTGCCTTTCACTTAACCTTTCTCTTTCTCTCTCTTTATCCGTTCGATCCTATGGGAACATATCATGGAAATTGATTGATTGATTGATTGATTGATTGATTGATTGATTGATTGATTGATTGATTGATTGAAGAACAACCATAAACAAAATTGAAATGAAAGAACATACAAATTCCTGTCAATGGAAGCAGAACATACGACCTTCATTACGTGTGCAAGTGAGCACGATCGATTCGAAGTTAGTCTCACTAAAGGTCAACTACGTGCTCACTAAAGTACCGCAAGTGGTTGAAATTTCCGGAGCCCTCCACTGTGTTATACCTCATAACAATATCGTGGTTTTGCCATGTTAAAGGCTGTAGCAACTGCTAACTCGAACTGAGTCTGCTCGATGGGATGAAAATGAGTCGTCCTCATTTTTGTGTCGCACAATCTGGACACACAGCTTAGTTGTGTGAACCGGGGTGCCCGTGCCTTAGCCATACGTGGTGGGGACACACAGGCGCAGTATGATGGGTGTTCAATGGCTAAGAGTCCTAGATAGGTCCCAAACTAGCTTGCTCAATCGTCCGATGAAGTTTTTTTTTCTTATCAGTCATCAAGTTCATAACAATGAAAGTGTATATAGGCCTGGCAAGTGTCGAGATGGCTTTAGTCATGCTGCCTGCTTATGATAGGTGTACTAATTTAACGTACGTATCAAGTGAACACAGCACAACCGACACGGCACCCTATATAACGTGCGCGTACATGGTAGGGTGGGGCTTGGGTCGTCGCGACTTTTATCTCTCAGTTCTATCGTGTCGAGTTGACGTTTACTACGTATGTGGTTATGTGTGCCGCATCCATGCCTCTTTCTTAACCATGCCTAAACTTAACCCAGCTGCGCACTTGCGGTGGCAAGTCTGAAGGAGGTACGGAGCTGGGAGCCTTGATTGTTTTCTCGTTGGTTTTCTTTCTTTCCTCCTCTATTTCTTTTTTTTTTTTGTTTCCTTTTCCAAATTTTTACCGCGTTTCTCTTTTCTTTGTATCTCTGTTCATTCTTAGCATCATCAAGGCATCGAAGAACAAAACGAAGGCAGTGCTGTACGTGGTTTCTGCTGCGTTACGCCAAGCTACGAAAACCATGCCACAGCACGAGAGCATGCGGCAAGTGCTATAGAAGCAGGCTATTTGCACACGTCAAGGATTCACGTTCAGTAACACTCAAACTTAGGCAAGTTGGTGTGGGTTCATGGTTGAAAAAGGCGCAAGAACACGAGACGCAAACGAAGATGATACACAAGGACGGGCGCCGCTATTCTTCGTTTGTCTCTGTTTGTATTCTTCGTTTGTCTTCTTGCATGGGCCGTTTTTACCCCACGTCAAGGAATTAATTTTTCACGCGCGTTGCGCGCACAACTGCTTCTTGTACGTTCCCTAGCACGCTGTGCTACTTTTCCATCTGGCGTCGTTTCACGTTCTCTGCACTTAGCAAGCGTCCGTTCTTGTATAGTCCGACTTCCTTTTTCCTTCGGGTGCGCGAAGTATATATGAGTGCGTGACCTGACAATTAACAGCGAGGCGAGCACAGCGGAGCACACGTTGCACAGCGCACCCGCAGTAGAATAAAATAGGTAGGCGCTTATCAGAGAGGTCATCTCTTGAAATCTGACCCGTCGAAGCGCATAAGACGTGGAAGACCGAGCGCAGCTAATTCGACGCAGCACACTAAACACACTAAATTCGACGCAACACACTCCATTCTGCTGCTGCGTGTGTTAGGTACTTGCCGTAGCTGTATTCTCAGGCCTTCTTTGTTCAGCCAGCGCTGCTATCTTATTATCTGCGGATGCTAAAATAAACCACTGTTTTGGTTTGGTGAAGTTTGGCACACAGAACAAACAATAATTTTGCCCATGAATATCAATGTGGGAGGCATGCATATTTGTGAGGGGTGTCCTGCCGGGGAGCAACCGTTGCGTGACGAGAGCATTTACAGCGGTTCCTCCTTCCGTTGCTCCCTTACAAACTTAAGATGAATACAGTTTCTCCCCCATTCTCGAACAAGTCGGCCATCTTGTTCCGCTTGGTCTTTCCGGAGAGTAACAGTCGGTCTGAAGGAGTAAAAACAGCCGTTGCTCCCATTTCGGCCGTTTTTGGCTTAGAGTGTAGCCGCGTGAGGGTGTCTTGTATACGTTGTTGGAATCGACATCGCTGTGCGCCAATGCACGACTGAATCGTTAAAGATGTGACACATTCCTGGTCACATGACATCTTAACCTTATATACAGGTTTCAATATTCTGAAATTCTGCGTATACAACTAAGTTAACATTTTCGTTAACAAGAGTGGTGCGCAATTAGCAAATAGTTGGCATGACTGTTGTTTTTAATTATTACACGACACACCGCAACCACTACTTCGTTTCTTCTAATCATTGTTGCTTTTTTCCCGAGATCGGCACTGTTTTAATAGTCTGAAGTTTCGTGCATCTTGTTTCTCTTCTTTTGTCTTTTCGGTATGACTTCTGTTTTCTTGTATGTGAACGATGTGGGCTATGTCTATCGCCACTATGCTTTTATACTTCTTCTGTTGCTCTAATGTATTTTTTTTTGTGCTGTGATGTTTTGTTGAAACTTTTCCTCTTTCTGGTTTTATAATTTATTTTACTCTAGGTTGTTTATTTTACTGTTTATTATTGTTTTTCACTTAACACGATTGTTTTTGGGCGGGCTGATTAATTGACCAATCGATCGATCGATCAATCGCTCAATCAATCGATTGATCGATCAATCAATTGATCGGTAGATCAATTTACTGAGTGAGTGAGTGAGTGAGTGAGTGAGCAGAGCTCTGTTCACTCCTCAATGTGCAATGTCGGTCGGCGAACGCTAAAGAACTCCTCGTTGTCAAAATTATGCGGAGGCCTTCTCCACAACATGCATCATAGTTATGTCATATTTTTGGAGTGTGAAAGCTCAGAAGCCAGTAATGGTATTCAGCGATTAATTTAGAAATTAATAGCGAACGTTAGGTGGGGACCTAGAAATTGTAGTACTTTTAACATTCGTCGACGGGCGCGCAACGCTAGACAATTTGCTTTTGGATCTCTTTCTTCAGAAACATGAACTGTAAGCCTTTTTCGGACAGTGTCATTTGAAACGCCTGGTTCATACGACTAGCTGCCGACCATTGCTCTCTCTTGAGTGACCGTAAATAATGCTGCACGGTTTTTTTTTTTCTTTGTCATGTGCGAGGCGTCCCTCTATCTTCCCGCCGCCGCATTGCCACCCTTTGCTTGTTTCATAAACTTTTTCACAGTCCACTTGCAATCAAACCTTACATTCCCCCCCCCCCCCCCCATTTCGCAGGTCATATCGCATTGGCCATGTCTTTCAAGTTGCCCGTCAACGTTCCCGCACCGCTACTTTTGCTGCCTCATTTTTTCTTCGTGCAGCAAAAGACTGGAATGACCTCCCCCACCATATTGCAGCAATCACCTGTCCATCAACATTTATGCATAGCGTCACAAGCCATTTTTCAAGCTAATTCATGGTTTTTTTTTGTACGTTTTTTGTAACCCCACCCCTTATGTAATGTCCCCCTGGGGACCTTTAAGGTAATAAAATGAAATGAAATGAAATGAGGTTCCCGGTGCACGTGCCTCCCTTGTGCAGGTTCCCGATTCGATCCTCTTCCGGATGCGCGACGTGAGGAACCTGACCGACTTCGTGAGCCAGTTCCTCGAGGGCTACCGTACGTATCAGGAAACGATTCAGGACCCGCCGCCTCCAGTCGCCCCGCTGCATATCGCTTATCTCTACGAGGGTCACGGTAACCTAACCTCTTTTCCTTACTGCCTGTCCCTCTTCCTCCACCACCTCTTCCTCCTCGCACCCGTCTTCGGAACCATGGCTCCTGGTGCCGACGCGGCGCTGCCTGCCTGCCTGCCAACCTGCTTGCCCACTCCGTAGCCGGCACCAGTGTCGTCAACAAGAAGTTCTACCGGATCACTTCATGGCGATGCACGTATATATCGCACGCTGTATACAACTTCTCTCGCACATTCCGATCGCGCCTTTTAACCGCATGTCGCACCCAACTTTCATCACAAGCGCACCATCTATCGCACACACTGCATGAATGTATGTATACCGTGCGAGCTGCGTCTCACTATAGTTCGGTGCAGTACCTAGTGGCCTTCAGCCTCACTTGATTTGGGTTTCGAGCGGTAAATTACCGAGGCGCTGCCACATTTGGCGATACCGCGAACGGTGTGGTTTGCCGAAAGTATTGAGAAGACTGAGTTTCTCGAAGTCAGGCGCCGCTTAGCGATATATTACGTAACAATTAGGGGGGACGAAGTGAGGAACTACAAAAATTTCGCTGACCATCTAATCGATGAATTAACCGACATAACTATATGATTTTGTTTCTTTTTTTCTCAAAGTTTATTTACTGCAACGTTGAATTTCGCATTTGTTCCATACTATTTTTGTGATTTGCTTACTTTTGTTACGATTCGCATTTTTTGTTTACTTCAGCTGCCTTCCTGGTTATTTATTTCGATCATAAATCATGGGACGTCGTATACGTCACTCAACATGGGCAGGAAAGTGCTAGAAATTGTAACGTTTCCAAAACAGGCGCTAGATTTGTGGCTTTAAAAACTGCGCTTATTAAAGTTGTTCTGCCACAAGGAAGCTACCATTCTACCATTCCATGACCATGAATCTGCTACCACACCTTTTTTTTATATATTTCACATGTGGCCACACTTGTCTAGCAACGAATTGCAGTGATACGGTCGCGCATTATCACAGCACGTTAGAAGCGGCTGGAAGGCCAGACACGGTCGTCTGGATCGCGCGTGGGCCACAGCTATTGTTTCGCTGTCTCTGGGACAGATGGCGCCAGTCACCTTGTCAAATTTTGCCGCGCCTGTTGCCTTCTTCAAATTTTCGTTTACGCGGGTTGTTGAATTGTTGCAACTTTGAGGTTTATTTAACCATAACATATATAAGTAACAATAATATCGAAAAAAAGAGTGTGCCTGTAGTATATGTGTATCCGTTAGGACAACAAATTTTAAATGTTCAGAAACATAGTCAACACACTCTATATAATTAGCAGTGAAATGATTTGTCATTATATTATATTCTGTGGTGATGATGAATTTATTCTGGTCCAGAGAATAAGGTCCCTAGATGAAACAAGATGAAACAAGATGAAACCTTACCAGAGAACACGCAAGGGAGACCTCATGTGGTTGGCAACTGATCAGAGTGTTGCCAAATGTTTAGTATGCAGTTACTGAGGTGGCACTGGCGTCGTCGGCTCGGGCGTGGTAACAACGCGTATCGTTGTTCACGCGCTGAATCAGAAAGGGTTAACAAATATTTGCAGGCAGATTGGTCACCGTACTGCGATAGAAAGAAGACACTTTTGAACTTTTTCATCTTTTCGAAGTATTGGCGTCCGCGTAGCATTCTAACTTGCTTAGTTTAGCTTATTTGGTTTCTCTTACCTTCAGTGATTTGCTTTTTATTTAGCTTTAACTTTGTTAGGTTTCATTTTGTTTTAATTTTCTGCACCACACGCCGTGCAAAGTGGCTGGAAGAACGTTGCCTTGAAAATAATGACTTGGAAATCATTGCATGGAGCCTGTGAGACGTAGCTCCCACGGTCATAGCCTCCAATCATCGTAAAAGACATGGGCTTTTGGAGGCGCAAGTTCATTCAATCAACGATCTTGTTTATTTGCTGGTTTACTTCTGCGTGTGGGTATTTATGTACTCTATGCATGCTGTGTTTGCTGAAGAGTGTGCTGCACTGAGGAAGACACGCACTGGTTCTGGCCAAGGTTCAGCCCTGCGAACATATAAGCACCCTCTAACGTATAGAAGTATGCATCGTTCTTGCCTCACGCTGTTTGACGCACCCTGTATATTTTGTCTGGCCAATTCATTGCAATGCTGCGGACGTTATGAACTGCGTAACAGCCAACCGGGAAATATAATAAAAAAGTATAAAAAGAAAAAAGCGTTTTATAGAAGGTGGTACGTTTATCCAGTGCATATTGGAAAATTGCCTTGAAGAATTTGGGCAGAAATGTATGTAAAAAAAACAAACTTCCCGTTGTGTAATAGCTTTCCTAGGCGACGAATGGACGGTTTCAATAATTCATGTAAAATATGAAAAAAAGAGTAAATGAAAGAAGACTTAGGCACGCAGGAGAAATCGCACCTCCTCACCAACGCAGACAGTTCGTGCTTTTCGGCAAGATACGTACGAGACCGACAGCGCATGAAGTCCACGTTCTCAGCAATTAGATCCCATCCACGCGTACCAAAGTTGTTGATAGAGAGATGAGAAAGACCTAGCGCGAAAAATGAGAAAAAGCAACGCGGAAAGTGTTGTTCCAAGCATTTCCTACGCAACTTTTACATTCACCGCCGCTCTCTCTATTTGCAATACCGAGAAGCTCAGACAGGCTTGAAAGCTATAAAGGACCAATTCTTCAAAGGAAAAGAATGATGAAAAAGACACCACATGTTGTTCAACTTCGTCAGCATAGCGAAGGCGAAAGAGCACACCGAGGCACGTTAAAGCCCCTGCACTTTAGACACGAGCGCCATCTGTCAGTTATCTTCGAAAACGAAGGAAAGCGTGCGCGCCGTCCTTCCCGCTTGTGAGCTCCGAGCGCCATCTGGCAGTTATCTTCGAAAACGAAGGACGGCGTGCGCGCCTTCCTTCCCGCTTGTGAGCTCCGAGTAAGGTCGATGTCGTAGACAGAGAACTCTGCGGTTATGCGCCGCAAAAAGCGGGTGTGCGAAGCAACTCCTATAGCACGGCCATGTATAGTATAGTCAGAAGATCGGAATAGTACGTGAGAGTGAGGAGGGTGGAAAGAGGGAGGGAAGAAGGTAAAGCATCACATAGCCTAGTATATAGTTTGGAAAGGGAAGTGAACGTGGGGAGAAAGGAAGAGCTGGGGGACGTGAGAGGACAAGCCAAAGCATAAACATGTAGAGTATAGCATAGTAAGGCACAGGAAAGAGAGCTGGGGGGTGAGTAGAAGGAACCGGATGAGAAAATTCAAAATAGAGAGATACAAAACAAGAAAGCAGATTATGTCGAAATAAACACGAAATAAGTAGGGATATTAAGAAAGAACTCCGTGTGCGGTCAACAGGTAATGGCGCTGGCATGCCAGTTCCGCCGTTTACTAAGATTTCACATGCAATGTGCTGGCTTTTTTTATTTTTTGTCGTAATAAAACGATGTCAATGCCCTTAGGGTTTCATTTCATTTCATTTATTTACTCTCAAGGCACTGTGCATTACAGAGAGGAGTGTGACAACAAATATCAATAAGAAGTAAAACAATACAGCAGGATTAGAATAAATTATAATGCACTTTCAGAAATTATTGATTTGAAAGCATTGAGGTCCGTGATTGAAGCGATCGATGCGGGAAGGTGGTTCCAGTCAGTACATGTTCAAGGAATGAAAGAGTTGAAGTGCTGGTTCGTATGGCAGAGGGGAACCCCACCTTGTATTGATGGTCATTGCGTGCTGATGTGTAGGCTGGTGGAAAAAAAACAGTGAATCAGAGAAGGTTCTGTTAGTGTGATAGATGTTATGAAAGAGGCAGAAACGGGAATTTTTGCGTCGTATTGAGAGGTTATGCAAATTAAGTTGAGCCTTCATTAATGTGACACTTGCAGTTCGAGAGTAATTGGACAATATGAAACGTGCTGAGCGATTCTGAATGGATTCAATGTTGTCGATGAGCATGTGAATATGAGGATCCCAGATAGACGACGCATATTCGAGTTTTGGCCGCACTAATGATTTATACAGGAGAAGCTTTAGGTTCCCGTGTATATTCCCGTATATACGGGTTCCCGTATATATTCTGCAGAGGGATCGACCATTTCATTATGTTGATGTGAAACAGCAAATGTATAGAGCGCTCGACCCAAACTAATTGTTTGAATTCCTGTGTACGATGCCACCTCGTTCTGCCTCATGCGGGTTGTTGCTCTGTTCAACGGGCCTCCATGGTAGTGCAGTGGTTATGTCGCTATAGGCTGCTGACCCGTAAGGCGCAGGCTCGAACCCAGCCGCGATGGCCGCATTTCGATGGAGATGAAATGACGGAGGCTCGTGTACTTAGATTTAAAAACACATTCAAGAACCCCACATGGTCGAAACTCACTAAAATGTTTGCGTTTACAGCCGACCCTGCTGTGCATGGATTTGAAGAAGCGCCATCAATCTTGGGTAAGAATCGTTCAGTCGTGTATATTTATGCAGTCTGAAGAGCATCTTCACGTGGATTGTGTCAGAACTGTCCCTCGGCGTTATAAAACTAATGTGTACCATCAAGTGTAGAGTTCACCATTCCGGCTAACTTGGTACATGAACAGCATAAAACATATGCCAAGTTGCCACATTTTTGTTACCATGGAGCATCGAGTTGCGTATGCTAACTTTAGCTTAAGTTACGCCTCGTCTACACGTATGCGTTATCAAATGGTTAATTGTTACGAAATGCTAGCGTCGAATGGAAAAGAGAGTGAGAGAGAGTGTGTGTCTGAGAATTTATTAGAAGGCAGAGAGGTCGACCTGATTTGTAGTTCGCTTTATAGTCTGCTACTTACACAGGGTATAAAGGAAGGAGGAAGGAAAGAGAGATGAAAGATGATCGTGAGGACAAGAAGAGGTGATGCGTATGTACAGTAGGCACTTAGCATAGCACACTACAGCCTAATATCTAGTCTAGTGTTTGCGATAAAGTCTGAAACAGCCTTTGTAGCAGTTTGCTGGCAACAGCCTTTGCTGGCAACATGTGGCTTTCACTCAATGACGTTCGTGCGATGCTTGACAATGTTGAAGTTAGCATTTATCTTGGCGCCACGAATAATGGGCAGTCACAAAATATGAGCTAAAGTTTCGCGCACTTGGCAGCGCTCACAATTCGGGCTGTGCGCACGGCCGATTAGGTGGGTGTAATGACGAGTGAAGGCGACGCCCAGGCAAATCTGGTGCAGTATATTAGCATGTCTTCGGCTGGTTTTAGCTGCAAGACGAAAAGTCAAACCAGGGTCTGTTTCCCGCAGACGCTTGTTCCGATGATCTGGTAGCGACCAGTAAGTGACAGCGCATTCGCACATGAGCGATATCAACAATTTGTTACGCCACTTCGCGAACACGGTATACTTTGACGTACACAGGAGCGTTGTATACTGCCGCTCTTGCTTCGCTATCGGCTAGTTCGTTGCCAACCAGGCCGCAGTGTCCAGGAATCCATTGGAGTGTAATCAAGTGACCGCTCCTGTGTGTTAGGTCGAATGCTTGGACGATTCCTAATGCTAACGCGTAAAATCGGCCTCTCCTTGAGCAAGAATGGATGGCTTGAAGCACTGATTTTGCATCGGACAGAATCGTCTATTTACGCGGTGCTTGGCCGCTCACAAATTTTATGGCTTTCTGTATAGCAACAAGTTCAGCAGCCGTCGAAGATGACCTGTGATCTAATTTATACTATGTGGGAAATACCGAGTTGAGGGATCACGAAGGCTGCAGCTGAGGCGGACGAAGTTACGAAGTGTAGATGTGCACTCTGTGCACATCTACACTTCGTCACTTGTCAATCACTTGTCAATACACTTGTCAATCCATCGGTGTAGATGTGCACTCTGTGCACATCTACACCGATGGATTGACACGTCCTGTGAGCTTCATCAATCCTGATGAATTGGCACGTCCTGTTAGTTTCTTCGAGGTGGACTCGAAGAGGCTCACAGGACAAGTAAACCTGTATAGGATAGGTGTGGGACTCCTCTATAGTGCCAGAGGTTGACGTGCACCGTGGCAGGCCTATAGGCATGTTCTCAATGCTCGTGCCTGAAAGTATGAAGGCACGTTGCACGCATGCCGACAAGTACAGGTGAGCTGTACCGTAATTAGCCTACAAATAATGCCTCGTACAACTGCAGAAGAGAGAACTTTCCCTCTTGCTTGTGCAAGTCATACAGAGGTCAACTTTTTTCAAGTCACATGGAAGCTAGCACTTATACGATAGACCCGTAAAGTCTGTGTCATACGAGACATTTAGAAGACTGTGCTGATTCAACATACTCGCACAGCGTACTGGCGGCTGCACATCTCTGCTTTAAAGACACCAGTGCCAACACGGCTCACACGTGGTGAACCCGTGGTCATGTGAGCCTTTAACCGAAGATTTTGATCCAGGTTGCTTCGGCCGTCGCGTATCTTAGTGGCTGCGGCCTCGCGCTACTTACCACGAGATTTGGGCTTCAACCCCAACCACCGCGGGCATATATACGATAAACGTGACATGAAAAAAAAAAACGCACACGTGCCATGGATTTGGTGTACGTTAATTAACCCCGGGAGGTCAAAATCAGCCCGGTGGCCTCTACTGTATGGTATGTGATATACAATCATATTGTAGTCAATGCACGTAAAACCACAGTTTAATAGTTTGATATGCTTTGTTTAGCCAACACTGTAACAATATCTTCTTTTGCTCTTTCTTTCTAGGGAAAAAGGGACCCGTGGGAGGTATGTCGACTTTTTAACTGTTTTTTGTCATTTGTATAACATAAACGTGCTACAAGTTTTAATCGATAATTAAAGGCCCTTCTGATGTAGGCTTGTGATCAGTTTTCCCTTCATGTGTCTATATATGCTACCTTTCAGCTCTAGCATGATACTTCCTCTAGATTGTGTAATTATTTTCTATTTATAGCATCTATCTATCTATCTATCTATCTATCTATCTATCTATCTATCTATCTATCTATCTATCTATCTATCTATCTATCTATCTATCTATCTATCTATCTATCTATCTATCTATCTATCTATCTATCTATCTATCTATCTATCTATCTATCTATCTATCTATCTGTTTGCGTTTTACGTCTGGGCAGCCTCGTTGTCGTCTCCGTGATTTGATATGTACCGAAATTGGCATGGCAGGGCATTCGTGTATGAAGAACACGATTAACAGGTCACTATATCAATAGGGTAAGATACTTGTCGCAAACGCCATGAAACTCTTTGCTTCAGTCGCGTGTGGCATATACATTATGCCACAGCCCATGAAATGCGAGTGGGAGTCACAGGTGACTTAGTATCAACCCAGGAACTTCGATAAGGTTTTTTAATTGTTTACGTTATCGAGTCTGTGTCGCAGAAAAAGCAGGTCAGGCGTCGGCTGTTGCTGGTGAGATAAATGTGAGAAATACGGAAAGATTAAAAACCTTGGTTAGAGCCGAAATTGAACCCATACATTCTGCGTGACAGCCAAGTGTTCACCCACACAGATACACCAGTGCTTGAAACTGTTTACGAAAAAGACCATATTACGGCGTCATATCGCGACATTGTTAACTGCGATTGCAGTGTTCGCTATCAGCGTTGGTGTAATGATGTAGTATACATTACACGTTAAGCTTGTCAAGCGATAGTCAACCATTGCTCAACCTGTGAGAACGGACCCAAGGACCTCGTGGTACGTGCCCCAGGACTTCCTCGGCATAGCTGTCGGCACATCTCCGTTGCCTTGATACCTCGCTCCTAACTTCGGTTGCCGCAATAACGGAGGTGGTGGTACTGGTAAAAACGGCGGTGCCGGAGCCTGTGTTCACTGACGTTCCTCCGCCGGGGTCCATGGAGCCCAACAACGCTGGCGGCTAGTGCTGCATCACGAACACTCGGTATCGATATGTCTTCCGAATAGCGACACCAAATCCCATTATTTCAAATGGAAACGTTTGGTGACATTTTATTGAAACTTTGCGCCGTCCCCGCTGTTCCAACTTTCTTCGCTGGCCGGCCCTTGCGGGACTAAACCCCGTATTCTAGAACGCCCCTTCACTCAACGCTCCCCCTTCACTTGAGAAAGCCAATGGGAGCGACATCTCTGGGCATGGCAAGTCACTGCATATCAGTGATAATTTGCTGCTATTTTTGAGTAGAGCAGTGCCATTTTCACCCGAGCAGCGGCGCAGTGTTCGGCTCTGTCAAGTGAAGGGCGAAAGTGGAGTCAAGGAGCGTTTGTGAATACGGGGGTAAATTTCGTGACTGTGTCCGCTAGTTGACTGAGGTGAGTTCTAGACCCCTTACCTGGTGCTGCGACGCTCTTGTATGTATATAGTAGTATTGGGATGTGTCGCATTCCGGGTTGGTACCGCTCTCGAAGAGCAGGGACACCTCCAAGACGCGCCTGGGAAAAGTGCGCGCATGTGGCCGGACGGGATCGAACGCGTCCGTGAGCATGTTCAGTGCGTGGCATTCAGCGCAGTACTGTGGCGGCCACTGGCGGCTGCTGCTGGCGCAGGTTCCTCGGCTTCGGTTCCCAACCCCGAGCCTGGCACGTGTCTGCCGAGCAAGCAGCTGGTCGAGTTCCCCAAGCCCACTGACCCGTCCATCATCCTGTGGCCGCCGTGCACGAGGGTGCCCCGATGCGGTGGCTGCTGCCCGAGCACCATCCTCAAGTGCGCGCCTACCAAGACCAGCAACGTCACCTTCAAGGTACCACCTCTATGACTACAAATTTGATTGATTGATCGATTGATCGATCGAGTGATTGACTGATTGATTGACTGATTGATTGGTTGATATATTGATTGATTGATTGATTCATTGATTGATTGATTGATTGATTGATTGATTGATTGATTGATTGATTGATTCCTTGCGTATACTTAAAGTTCTTTCAGAAAATGCCCGAGCAACTTTAAGTGAAAAAAATTCAGCGATCATATGAAGCATAATGAACGGGTCACGATTACTACAGATAGAAGAGTGGCAGTCTGGGCTAGTTGGTATGACGGGACGATAGTCATAGCGCGAGAACAGAACAGTCTCTTTGTCGTCGCCCTGTTCTCGCGCTATAACTATCGTCATGCTACAGATAGGTTGGGGCAAGAGTGTGCACCAGGTTTGCGAGTACATTAAGTTTGTGGATGCATTTTGCATACCTGAATGTTTTACGTGTCAGGTCATTTGCAACACTTGAAACGAATAACGAATGATTAATAATTTACTGCCGCCCGCAAATATAAGTGGTGGCATGGTGGGAACTACAATGGCAGCAGCAATATGTTGACCAATGGCCTCGCAGGATAGAGAGCCATCGCTTGCTGGTCTCGGTGCTCATAATGTGTAAGAATATATAGCAGTAATACGATCACAACCGTTTGTTTGTTGCATGTGTTCGCGGGTTAGATTACCTGCAGCCGTGTCACTTTGTGAAGTACCGTGTACATTTTTTACTAGCGGAGCAAGTTACTTCACACCACACTGGCAGATGTTCAAGGCAAGACGCGATGTTGAAAGAGATGAAACATGGGATGTCCCTTGTGCCGATGCTTCGACAAATCTGCTTGTCGAAATAAAGTTTACTACCTACCTACCTGTCGAACCGTCTGATGCAGCGACACCACGTGTTCACGAATTTTCCGTCTCACCACACCATTGCCATGTGCAGAGAGAGAGAGAAATAAATAAAAGGAAGAGACAGGGAGGTTAACCTAGACGAACTGGTTTGCTACCCTGTACGGGGTGGAGAAGAGGGTCGGAAAGAGGATGGAAATAGAGAGATAAAAAAATAAAATTAAAAAAAAACCACATGCGCACACATTCAGGGAGTTCCGATCACAGTCGTTTGGACAGGCCGGTTGGACGCAAGAAGCGCAGGAGCGCCTTCACGGCCTTCTTCTGCGACATAAAGTCCTGTCGGCAGCGCAGGATTCTTTCTTCCGAAAAAGGCTGGTTGTCAAGTTCATCTAGTGCATTGCAGAGTGACTGTCTCTGCGAGCAGTATTGTGGGCATTCGCACAGAATGTGCCAAGTTGTTTCATCACTTGCCATGTGCAACCTTTGCATGCATTCGGCACGTTTCTCACGATCCAAGTGAGTGGAGGTTCTGCAGGATTGGTCCGGTGATAGCTTTGCAATGGGGCGCAGGTGATCAAAGCCCAGTACCCGGAGCCCGGAGCGAGCAAGTTCAACTTCGTGGGCCACGAGATCGTGACGCTGGAGAAGCACGACAAGTGCAGCTGCGAGTGCAAGGAGCGCCCCGCGGACTGCAACGCGCTGCAGCAGTACAGCGAGTGCCGCTGCGTCTGCCGCAACAACAATGAGATGCTCTCCTGCCACGGGCCGGGCGTGGTGTGGGACCCGCGCGACTGCCGCTGCAAGTGCCGAGACTACGCCGAGTGCTCCACGGGATTCTACTACAACACGCGCACCTGCAGGTCAGGCGTCTTCGACCCCCCCCTTTTTTTTGTTATGGACACCTGAGGGCAACTTCTTGGCCTATAATTCGTGGCTTTCTGTTGTGTGCCTTCCCCCTACAGGGTGCAAAATGTCATACAATTTTCTTGCACGTAAATTTACACATGCAGTGGCTGCTTCTTAAAAGACTTACTTTAATAATAATAATAATAATAATAATAATAATAATAATAATAATAATAATAATATAATAATAATAATAATAATAATAATAATAATAATAATAATAATAATAATAATAATAATAATAATAATCAGTCTATAGCTGCGCCCACGTTGCCCCAGCAGACTATATACTTAATCTCATCTGCCTATACCTCATATAGGCATGCGCGGGTTTTCCCTTAGGGGTGGCGAAGCTTTGTCGTAGCACCCCCCCCCCCCCCCTGCTTATTATTATGTCAATGTATGGGGCCGACTTTGCAGCCCCTTCCTAACTCTTCGGTGACTAAGGGCCCCCCTCTCCGTGCACACACTTATCGCCCACCTAACTTATACGTCTCCCTTCGTAGATGCATGCTCGCCTTCCTGCATGCTCGCCTCCCAGTGGAGGTGCCCTCCATTGAGAGAGGCAGTAACGGAACTGCGCTTTTTTCTTCCTTTTTCCTCTTTTCAAAGCCACTTCGTTCCTTTGAAATCCAGCCGGTTAGTTATTTTTAAGGACCAGCGTTAGCTTGGCTCCGCGCTGCATGCCCGACCCATGATTATTTCTTGATTGAGTATGCCATGCTATCTCAAGCATTCAGTTTCATTTTTTTTTGTTCTAACTGCATCGCATTTTTTTTGCTCTTTTTTATTTTTAAAGTGTTCTTTGTGTTGATTTACCTCGTCGTTTTCGGGATGAGGTGTTCCTGCGTGATGATGAGCTTTTTGGTGTCTGCGTGGGCTGATAGATAAGCGTGCATCTCTGAAAGTAAGCGTTCGTTCGAAGTTTGTGCTCCTTTGGTTTTTCTTGTTAATTCTTGCGCAGTCCAGATAATTTCGGTTGTATCATGCTTCTCCACGGAAAACTTGGGCTCTCAACTGCTTCTCTAGAAGAGCCCCATTTGACTACTCGGAGTTCTAGAATGAGAGAATGATTTCCTTCTCGCCTTCTCTACTCTGTCTAGAGCCACTCGCTCCTTCTCGCCACTTATTTTCACCGTAGGATTTCGCGCTTTTCGGCTATAAGCTATATCCCCGCTCATTAAGTCGAGTACGCATAAATCGAACTAAGATTCGTTGATCGTGCACGACCACCTGGTGTTCTTTAACGCGCACCCAAATCTGAGCACACGGGCCTATACAACATCAGCAGCCGAGTACCTTAACCACTAGACCACCGTGGCGGGGGCGCAATGTTGAAAGAGATGAAACACTCGTGAACATGGGATGACCCAGGAGCCGATGCTTCGACAAATCTGCTTGTCGAAACGTCTGATGCAGCGACACCACGTGTTCACGAATTTTTCCGTCTCGTCACACCACATTGCCATGTGCAACCTCCCCGTTCCTTCTGCATGTATTTGACAAGTTTCTCACGATGCAAGTGGTGGAGGTTCTGCAGGATTGGTCCGGTGATAGCTTTGCGACGGGGCGCAGGTGATCAAAGCCCAGTACCCGGAGCCCGGAGCGAGCAAGTTCAACTTCGTGGGCCACGAGATCGTGACGCTGGAGAAGCACGACAAGTGCAGCTGCGAGTGCAAGGAGCGCCCCACGGACTGCAACGCACTGCAGCAGTACAGCGAGTGCCGCTGCGTCTGCCGCAACAACAACGAGATGCTCTCCTGCAACGGGCCGAGCGTGGTGTGGGACCCGCGCGACTGCCGCTGCAAGTGCCGAGACTACGCCGAGTGCTCCACGGGGTTCTACTACAACACGCGCACCTGCAGGTCAGGCGTTTTCGACCCCCCTTTTTTTTCTTATGGATACCTGAGGGCAACTGCTTCTTGGCCTATAGTTCGTGGCTTTCTTTTGTGTGCTTTCCCTATAGGGTGCAAAAAGTCATGCAATTTTCTTGCACGTAAATTTACACATGCAGTGGCTGCTTCGTAGTAAATGACTTAGTATAATAATAATAATAATAATAATAATAATAATAATAATAATAATAATAATAATAATAATAATAATAATAATAATAATAATAATAATAATCAGCCTATAGCTACGCCCACTGCAAGGCAAATGCCTCTCCGTGTTTTGCCAATCCGCCCGGTCCTGCGCTTCGTGCGGCCACGTTGTCCCAGCAGACTACTTAATCTCATTTGCCTATACCTCATAGGCATGCGCAGGTTTTCCCTTAGGGGAGGCGCAGGTTTTCTTTTAGGGAGGGCGCATGTTTTACCTTAGGGGGGGGGCGAAGGTTTGTTGCAGCACCCCCCCCCCCTGCTTATTATTATGTCAATGTATGAGGCTGACTTTGCAGCTCCTTCCCTACTCTTAGGTAACTAAGGGCCCCCCTCGCCGTGCACACACTTATCGATTGATTGATATGTGGGGTTTAACGTCCCAAAACCACCATATGATTATGAGAGACGCCGTAGTGGAGGGCTCCGGAAATTTCGACCACCTGGGGTTCTTTAACGTGCACCCAAATCTGAGCACACGGGCCTACACCATTTCCGCCTCCATCGGAAATGCAGCCGCCGCAGGCGGGATTTGAACCCGCGACCTGCGGGTCAGCAGCCGAGTACCTTAGCCACTAGACCACCGCGGCGGGGCCACACACTTATCGCCCACCTAACTAATACATCTCCCTTCGTAGATGCATGCTCGCCTTCCTGCATGCTCGCCTCCCTGTGGAGGTGCCCTCCATTGAGAGAGGCAGTAAGAGAACTGCGCTTTTTTCTTCCTTTTTCCTCTTTTCAAAGCCACTTCGTTCCTTTGAAATCCAGCCGGTTAGTTATTTTTAAGGACCAGCGTTAGCTTGGCTCCGCGCAGCATGCCCGGCCCATGACCATTTCTTGATTGAGTATGCCATGCTATCTCGAGCATTCAGTTTCATTTTTTTTTCTAACTGCATCGCATTTTCTTGCTCTTTTTTTAATTTTTAAGGTGTTCTTTGTGTTGATTTACCTCGTCGTTTTTGGGATGAGGCTTTCCTGCGTGATGATGAGCTTTTTGGTGTCTGCGTTGGCTGATAGACGTGGATCTCTGAAAATAAGCGTTCGTTCGAAGTTTGCGCTCCTTTGATTTTCCTTGTTAATTCTTGCGCAGTCCAGATAATTTCGGTTGTATCATGCTTCTCCATAGAACACTTGGGCTCCCAACTGCTTCTCTTGAAAGGCCCCTAAACTGCTCGGAGTTATAGAATGAGAGACTGAGTTCCTTCTCGCCTTCGCTATACCCTTCCTAGAGGCGCTCGCTCCTTCTCGCCACTTATTTCACCGTAGGATTTCGCGCTTTTCGGCTATAAGCTATGTTTCTGCTCGTGCAGCCGAGTACGCATAAAACGAAGCGAGATCTGTTGATCGTGCACGATAGTCTTTTTTTTGTGTTGAGACAAAGACTTGCCTTTATGCGAAACAAGACAGAACAGTTGTCTCACTGCATGGCAAAGAAGGCTTGGCAAAAGTTACGCGTGCCAAAGATTAAGACTGCATGGCTGTTTATTGCGCACGTATGTGTCCTGTCTTCTCATTTTGTCTTGGTGTTTTATTACAGCGCAGAAAAACAAGGAAGCCTAGGTGACAATTCACAAGTCGTATCCCCCGTACATATGAGCCGATATATGGCTTATTTCCTCATGTCGTCACGTGAACCGAAACTGCTGTCGTCACGAATTTGGCCTAAGTGACGGGAAACGCCGGGATAGAATAACGTACGCTCGTTCTTTGTGTGTTCAGAAATCGTTTCAGGGACTCTTTGAACAGCTGTAAGCATTTCGTTCAGTTCACGCGATGCAGGCGCTGCAATACCAAAAGTTCCTCTTTAAATTGACCCGAGGGTGAAGAAAAAAGAAAAAAAAAACGGCAAGTTCTTCCTTGTTGACAACGTCCAACAGGTTTTTCTGCTTGCAACTGCTTTCTAATTTGTATTCAGTACGTACTCTTTATAGATGCCAAGACAGTGCTCTGTTTTTCTCTCACACTTTCCAGTTTATACTCGGTTTTCCCAACTCGCAGAACATATATACAAGCAAAAAAAAAAAAGAACCATCTTCGAACACATTTGTAATAAAAGCACGTGGATCCCTTGTTACTCTTGTTTCACTCTGTGTATAGCACCGACAATCTTTCTTTCCTCGTTTCCGTCGTAGTTCACTGCACATCTGTGTTTTATTTTCCTGGTCGAAGACCTCGTTCTCAGTATATTGTCGCAAATCGGCCGACGATAAATCACTCTTTCTTCCTTTCCTTATTTATTTATTTATTTATTTATTTATTTATTTATTTATTACGTAGGCACGACTTCATCTATATTATATACAGTACTCGAAGAAACATGCCCTTTTCGCATTACCACTCCAACATTCATGCTATATTATATACAGTATACTCGAAGGAACATGCGCTTTTCGCATTACCACTCCAACATTCATGCAAGTTCATGCAAAACCGTGCATTCAAAATTGCTTGGCGTACATCCTAAGACTGAGCACTAGGTTCGAAGTATACATCCCGAAAATTGCCAAACGCGTTCCAGTAAAGATTTTCTCCAAATTCTTGTGCGCACATTGCGTGGAAAGTATAGGTAGGTTGAGCGTCAATGCTCCACAAGATCGTTTTGCAGACGGATGTCTCGGTCGATACTATATATTGTTAGCTATAATATACTCTCGCAACAGTTTTGATAAGTGAAAAGGACTTGACTGAGCTGCCCCGGCTGAAATGCGTGGTTCAAACGTGTGCTGTAAGTTCACCGACTACGTCAATGAATGCAAGTTTACTTAAAGAACTGTATAACACGCTGGTGTATCGTGGCACGCGAAGAAATGCAGCTGCACTGGTTGAAGGAAAGTTGAAATTTAAGAGAGAGA